CAAAATTTGTAACATCCTATACAACTACAACTGACTGATTCATACATTCAGAGACTCTTTCATAAGTTGCCCCAATGTGAATAACATATGCTTTGTGACCTTTACAAATGAACTTTACGTTACAGTTTTATACGTTAGGGTGTTCTAAAATTATTTGTTTTGGAAAATTTAATAACTCTGTAAATATTGATGTTTAAAGAATGTAAATGTTTAATACAATTTTAAAAAACTATCCTCTATATGTGTGTTCATTTATTGTCGCGATTGTCTTGACACGCTGTATAAATTTGGATAAACTCTATATAAATGTTGCTACATAGATAAATTGGAACAAACCGTTTTAAAATGGCTCGTTTATCGAAATGATGAAATGTTAAAACCTTTTTACTACTTCTCCTTTTATTCACATAATTGATGTCAGAACTGATAAGATATGATCATAAGGCTGTGTCCATTGTTACCAAAAGTTTCGTTAATAACTTTGTCACATTTCGTGTTGAATATTTCAATGCAACACAGTTAAGTCATTATCTCGTGGTAATATATTAGTGTGTATAATATTCTGTAATTGTCAGATAAAAATATTGTATTCATCGCATCGATATATATTAATTATAGTAGGTTTATAATTGTTTGCCGTGCATGGCCACGGTTGCCTTATTTTTAAAAGTTGTGATTGTATCATAAACTGACGTGATCAAAGTTATTGATACTAAAATTAATAAAACGTTGATGAAACAGAATTAAAATACAGATACTTGAAAGAGCTATCAAACAGAGCTCTATATATATTCAATAATTTCAAATATTTCCTTCAAAAAAATAATTCGAGAATAAAATTATACGAACATATACAATGGCATTATTTTGGCGAGAGGGAATAAATGCTTTTGTAGTTTATCCAAATAGAACGAGCACTTTCGTTATGGTAATGCCTACTTTGCTATGCATGGGCCGAGCTCCTGGTGTTTCTGATACGCCACACAAAGTATTCTTAAGATACGTAAATTAGCATTTTATTTGTGAAATATTGCACTTATGTAGACTTGTTTACGCTAATGATTCGCTTAATTCCGCAAGCTTCTTCGAACGCTATTGCTTTATCAATAACATGACCTTGTTAATTTAAATAAAAATTTAGCGGCTGTTGTACTACTATTCCAACGTTTCCATTAATCTAATTACATAGCCTTTGCCAACCAATTTCCGTAACCAGTTCTCGACAATCGTATCGAATCGATACGACTCAGGCAACCTACAAGAAGAGAGCAATTCCTACCTCACGGGTCGGCAAGGCATTTGTTTTTCTGGACGTCACTTAATAGTAGAAAACAGTTTCTCATTTGCTCCTACATTACATTATATTAAATAATAATAATAAATATTTCGTGACTTATTTTTCGAATCACACACCCTCTGGTGCAAGAGAGAGAGTTACTATCAATTAAGCCAATCGGGCCGTCTATTTATATATTACAATAGAATATATAAAACAATAATATCTTTTATACACAATGACTTGGGATAAATTGACACTCTTTTTGCGTATTCACATTTCGACCAATGAGGTAAAACGAACGCCAACATTAAATGCGGAGTCTACTTTCAGTTTATATCAGTTCACATACATTGATTTGAAAGTCACTCAAACCTAAGAAATATAAATTTATTGGTTACATTAACATTGGATTGGGTTTGAACCTTAAACGCATAGTTCGGTGGCTTGGTTTTAGAATTGCAATTTGTAATAGAAGTTAGCTATACTAATGATCAGCGACAATCAAGTGTTACGCATGCCCATTAACCAGAAAATAAGTAACGGCCTATACATATCCCACTGCTGCATAATCCCCTACGCGGCCCCACTGCGGCTTGTTGGACTTCACATATCTTCGAAACATTTTTATTTTCGTTATTATTTCTAAAATCTGCAGGTTTCCTCGCGTTGTTTTCCTTCGTCGTTGAGCACGTGATAGGTCAGCACTTAAAATTATTAATTTCATTGCTGCTGGCGCCAGGGATCGAACTCAGGATGCTCGATTATATTGAATTAAGGGCGAGCGCCCGGAAACTGTGTCTCTTTTGGCTTATTAACAGCAAAATAAAGAGACATTATTATTTCATAGGACAGTTAAAATTTCACTTAATTTATCTTTAATATTTCATCTGCCTAGTTTTATACTATTAAGTTAAATAATAATTTAATAACAGCAACTGAATCGAAATTTTTTATTCCTTGTAATGGTAATGCTGTACAAATATTAAGTTTTATTATAGATATTACATTATAGAAATTATATGAAAATATTACCAGAATATTCAAATGCACCACTACGTAATATGAAATATAAAGTTATACGTAATATAAAATTACAGAATACGCTTTTATGTAGTGATCATAATACTATGACTTGTAACTCCTACGTAAAAATAGAATTTAGAAATGCAAGAGTAAATATGTCTGTCTGTTCCTTGGTTTGTCTATCAATTACGCTTTCACGCTTTCACGCCTAAACCACTAAAACGATTTTTTGATACAGTTAAACGATGAATTTTGGTATAGAGATAGATGGTAGAGAGACTAGGCTTTTATTGAGAAAATAAAGTTTTGAAGGGTTTGAAATGTGAGATGAAATTTTACTGTGTTTTTACGCAACACTTCGCTGTTGCATAAATTGGCAGGTCCGTCCGGGGATGGACCACAAACTAACAGAAGACCGGTGACAAGTAGAAGTGTCTACTTCTGTGGTTCGTCTGGTGGGTGAAGTATCCGTGACTTGGCATCTTGATGCAGCTGGGGAACAGAGTAGAAGCAAAAATGGCGGGAGAGACTGAAAAGCCTTGGCCTAAAGATAAGTGCCACCAAAACAGAACATTTGTATTGCGATTTAGGTGGCATATCCTTATAGCGTTAAAAGGTATATTTCTTCCAGTCTGTTCCGATTTTAAGTATCTCGGCTCATTGGTTCAAAACGTCAGCGGAATTGACCGAGATGTCGCAAATAGGATAAATGCAGGCTGGCTGAAATCGCGGCAGGTCTCATCAGTTACACGTGACCCGAGAACTCAACTGAAAGGGAAGATTTCAAAGACCGTGGTGAGACCGGAATGTTGAGCAGTAAAAGAGACGAATGAAAGAAAAATGCATGCGGCAAAGATTCAAATGTTAAGATGAATGCATGATGTGACCGTGTGTATGTATCCGTATTAACTTATATAATAGAATAGGTGACATCCTCAAACAATGAAGTGTAAATAATTTGTAAATATTTTGTAAAAGCTACCTTAGTGGAAAGGGCCTCTTATAATGTCGAGGAATACATTGAGGTCAAGGATGTGTAACGAAAGAACGAACGAAGAATGAACGAAGGATGGAAATGACTCCTGCTCTGCACTTGCAAGTCCCCTGGCTCATGCTAATAAATCTTCTATGGCAGGTCTAGTTTAGTGAACCGGTGGTAATTTTGACCGTTCAATAAGAGCTTAAAATAAGCCTATGTTGAATAAAGAAATATTGACTTTGACTTTAACCAGAAAAGATAAGATAAGAAATGAGTATATAAGTGACGCAACATTAGAAAAGACATAATCACTGATTGGAAAGATTAAAGAAGAATATGTTTTAATACGCCGTACTCCGGTAATTCAGACCAATTTGCCATTTTAAAAAGGGTAAGTTTCCCCTGAAAGCAGAATTTGCAATAACAATAAACAAAGCTCAAAAACAGATGCTGAAAGTTGCAAGTGTGCATTTATAAATAATATTGTTTTCCAATGGGCAACTCAATGTACCTTGCTCACGAGTTTCAAATCAGCATAATATTTATGTTTTAGTTGAGATATTAAAACAAAAAAAAACCTGTGGCACTCGGGGACTGCCGCGATAACGCTGTTTCATAGCATTTTTCATCAACTTATGCAATTATAATTATTTATTTATTTTTTATTTATGCAGTATTATTTTTCTTTGATATTAATTCAAGTTACACTTTTTGGGCATGGTGACTTATAAGAAAACAATTCTTTTTCTTTTATTCATTAAATGAGAAGTTAATATCGTTTAAAATATTTTTATTATCTTACATTACATGTAAGTTATTCAGGAATTTTTATTATTGAAACTATAGGTTTATGCTAACTTAAATAAACATAATTTTGAGACTTGATATCTTCTAAATATCATATCAACATAATTATGATAATAAAATATTATAATATTATATTATAATATCCATCCGTGCGAGCTTCACAGTCGTACCATATACATACACGTTAAGCTAACGCTCGGCCGAGCTACAAGGTTATTTTCGTTACAAAATTTCTTGATTCTGTCGCCGCGCTCAAAGCCTGCGATAAAAGCTATGCATATGCATAGCATAGCTGTATATGCAAAGCTTAAAAATATTTAAAAAAAATTAAGTAAGCAACATATACAGTAAACGATAACAATTTGTAAATATTTCCAAATAATGTCCATACATACAAATTGAAAATGCTGCCAAAAGTTATTCCATTCCACGCGGAAGAAGTCGCAGGCAAAAGCTAGTCAAAGTATAAAAGCTAATGCAACATTCCGTGCAACGGACGTCATTACGTAATAAACGTGATTCAGGGTTCGTTCGATTTAACCGTCTATAGACGAGCGACACTTATTTAGTTGATTGATGTTGTTCTTGATTACATGCGAAATGTAATTTGGATTGAATAATTGTTTGGTGGATTGGGATTAATCGAATTAACGAGTTGAGGGATTCGCGTCACATGATTTAAAGTATTCCAATGTAGGTACAATTTCACATGTTAAGTGGGAAAGTGATAAAACGATGATGATAGTGGTGACCAGTTCCTCTTGGGATTCGCTTACAGAGCGAATAGTTTTATTTTGTGTATATTAACAGTTTATAAGTTACTTGTGATTAGGAACGTTCCCATTTATGATGTTGCATTGTAACGTATAAAAATGATATACAATTGCCGTACGTACATTGTTTATTGTTTCATTTATCACCAGCTCCATTGCTTTCTTTGTTGGGGTCTGGAAGAAAGTATACTAAGCCAGCTACACCTGAAATTATTTGGTCTTTACTTTATACATTTGTCTTAAAAGTTCTCTACAAATATTAGGCTGTTTTAATTTCCGTTTGAAAATAACGTTACTCGTCACTTGGTTAAACAGTAAGGAAAAATATCAATTATGTAATATATATAATTCAGATGCTCAGTGAATATCTGTATATAAATGTTTATCATTATTTACTTACAAAGTGTAATAACAGATAAGGACAGGAAAGGCCCCATGCATCCTAGTTGCAACATGATAGGAAACAGAATATTGCCAAGTAACGACCCCGTTCGGCCCATCATTATAATTATCGACAACGCCAGCGTTCTGAAAGTGATAAGTGAAAATAAAATAAGTATAATAACTAATACAAGTCAAAGTACATTTTTTTCTTATCGTATTAAAGAAATTTATTAAATTTATTATATTTTATTATGAGATCACCGAGCGGGATCACGAGAAACCTTCTTGTGATCCCACTCCATACATTCCACTCGGAGGTGAAAACTTCAGGCCATCACAAAACGTAGGACGTGGAGCGTGTGCCCAAGTTATTAAATGATGAAGCGTGAAGTCAATAACTAGATTCTTTTTATAAGACATGTTGGAAACGAGCACGCTTTACATTACTCTACACCAAAAGAAACCTATTGTTTTTGTAGGCTTATTTCTACTGGCAAATTTTCATTGGAACATATAGGCAGTCAAGACACACTTCCGTCCCTAGCGAGGAAAACGTCCTAGTTTTTGTTTCCGATATTGCTACAAAGATTATCTGTGCAGTGCACGGAATTAAAGTTTAGCGGTAAAGGTACCAAAGATATTCCTTATACCGATGCAATCAAATATATTGATGTAGTTTGAGTAAAGGTTAGTTCATTAAGAGATACATTTAGATTTTATTATAGATCTCTTATAAGATCGGTAAGTGAAACTTCGCTCGAGTTTGGACTCGAAGAATATACGTAAATTTTCTAATATGATTACATTTATGATTTTTTGTAAAGATAATTATTTTCAGAAAATAAAATTTCTCAATTGTTAATACGTAAAAGTATTGAAATAATACTAACCTTATAGTTGTTGGGAAAACTCTAATTAAAATATTTTGTTGGAGACTTAGAGCAGATTGCATCAATGCGCAAGTCGCAGACACGAGAAGAGCAATTTGTATCGATGAATTGGTCCAGTATAAAGATCCAGAACAGAGAGCGCACAATACTAAATATACGAACATCAAGATTTTTTGTCCGAAAAAATCAACTAAGTATCCACTTAGACCGATAAAGACCATCGAGAATAAACCAAGTATTATCCCATTTATGTAAGTCTCTGATCCACTTAGATGCTGAAAAAGACAAAATTTTCCTAATAAGTTATAATTTGCAAGTAAAATAATATTCGGCTTTAACAGTATAGTTCTATTCAATAAAGTATTTTGTGTATTATGTAACGTATGATATTGATGGAATGATTATTTCGAATTGAATTCAAAACGGCTCATCCTATTGTAGTGGTCAAAAATGATAATTATGGTCTCCCGCATTAGGAAGGGGAAACTTATTACTATGCCTACGGGCCATCAAGGATCTTTACCGTCCGTGACCGTTGACTGTTAATAACACTTGGCTGGGGGCAGTGAGAAGCACTGGAATGCAGGTGTATCCTGTGCACTTGTTGTGTTTGTTTTGCTGTGCATCCGATGTAATTATATCCTATTCATCGACCGGGTCGATTAGGTCCTTTGCGGGTGAAATCTAATAACCTACGTGGCTACGTTAATTATGTCTTTAAAAGGCTTGCATTGGAGCTGTAACCATAGGACAGCTGTTGAAATCCGTGGAAGATGGTAATTACTCAACATCAGCTGAGCCGCCATTGTATCATCAAGCAATAAAAATCATGTAACGGATTTGGTGATAGTATAGTTTGGGTATAGTAGAATTACAAAAATACTTACGGGCACGCAAACATCCGTTAAATTGTTAGGGAGCGATACATTAAAATTTTCATCTAAATGGTGTCGGTAATTGTCCATCATAATGCAGAATCTTGCCGTTTCCCCATGATCTTTTTTGTAGTTTTCTATAATCGTTGACAATTGTGGATACCACAGCCGCAATGCACTGTATCTGTTATTTTTATGATAATTTGGTCAAGAATAGTAAATACTGATTCGCAGAGTTTAGGCTTGTAACTATGCATGACAAAAAATTGTATAATTTTCTTGCCTATACTAAAGACGAATTTTAAGAATCATAAGGTGAATAAGACGGAGTGGAGGATGTAGGTGAGAGATTGTATCAAATTTTGGACAGCAAATGGAGAATAAGGGTACGAGATCGATTTATATAGTGTTAACTAGAGATCATCCTGCTGCAGACAAACAAAGACTGATGATGATGACGATGAAGCACCATTGGCCGAGTAATAATAAAAACTCACTACTATAATCAAATATGAGAACTTGTTGTCATACAAATTGTAAAATGAAAAGTAAATCTTAAATCAAATCTGTGAAAATAAACGAAGAAATTCAGCAACTCATACTTCTTAAAGTCAACTCAAGTCATAAGAATATAAGGAATTGCGTTCAGGTAGCATTTCTTCAAACACCATGTACTTTCATTTCAGTCATATCAAGGATAATACTTACGCCAATAAACATACGAACGTTAAGCTTGAAAACAATAAGAGCCTACAGAATAATGGTGGTCTAAATAAATCTTTCACTGCTATCAATGCATGTGTTATTTGCTTCTTAATACTCATGTCTTTCGTCAATTTAAACGTACCAGAAGCACCAAGGGACGTTACCTGAAATTGAATTGCAAAGAATAAGTCATGTTTAATTCATAAAGCTTACTTGTATTTTTTTACGAGGCATGGATTTTTTTCAGCTAAGTAAAAACGTGTACATATACAATTTTCATTTCTTCAAAGAGCCATTTCGTATTTTTGAAAATGGTACTTACGGGAAATGATTCTTTTGGGTTACCAGTATTCTCAGCGTATACGTTCTTTAAAACTTCTAATGCTTCCCGCTCCTGCCCGTGTGATAAAAGATACTTAGGACTCTCGGGTATAGTGTAATAAAGAATTGCAGCAACCAAACTCCAGACGGAACAAATATATAAATAGAAATTCCAAACTCGCAATTCTGTAAACAAGTTGCGACATTGTTAAATAAAACAAATTTATAGCATTTATATCTATACATTTTTTCGTGTGTGGTTTTATATGGTTTTTTTATTTTCTGATATTTTGAACACTTTGCAGCGTCCAAAGTTCAAGACAGGCTCTGTTTACATTTTAAATATCCCCATGAAAGTTAAAATTTATAACCACATAAAGCTATGCTACTGGAAAGGTTATGTCACCTATACTAATAATATTGTTTTAGTCCTCGTCCGTTTAAAATTATAAAAAAAACTGTCACAACAAAAATAATTTGTGTTACAAAAATAAACATTTTGTGTTTGATATGGTATTTAAAACTTGTTTTGTTGTTAATACCTTACTGAACAAACGAAACGCAAAAGTATAGTTGATCAATTGGGTTTTAGTATTGGGATCTTATTATCCTAAAAATAAAATCCTGACTCAATCAAAACGGTTTACGATGGTAGGACCACGCAACAGTATTCGCTGTTGCACGAGTGGGCAGGTCCGTCCGGGTTAGTAAAACGACCTCACAGAAGACCGGCGTAAAGTAGAAGTGTTGCACTTCTGCGTTTCATCTGGTGATTGAGGTAGCCGGGGCCCACATCTTTAAGATGAGGCAACGCATCTGCAACCCACGGGTATTGCAAATGTCCAGGGCAGGCAGTTATCACTTAACATCAGGTGAACCGCCAGCCATAAACTCCATAAACAACTATTATTAAAACTGAATACCTACCGAAGTAAGCAGGAATAAGAACGATATGCCATGGCTGAGGCAATACCGCCCAAGACATTACCGCAGCTACTATTAGCGATAGCGACATAAAGGAACAGTACAGTAATAATATTCTATCTCTTACATTCTTGTGCACGAACTCTGATATCATTGAAGCGACTGCACTAAAAGATACGCTTAATCTGGAAATAAATAAAAATAATTAACTGAAAGATGTATCTTGGATATTTCCAAAGTAAAATCTTGCCCTCGATACAACACGCTTCTTAGATTTACTAGATATTTGTTTCAATACTGTAATAATTTCTATACTTACGCAATTCCTTCTATAAGCTTCATTATAATTAACATCCAAAAATTTTGACTAGACCCTTCCACCAAATTGCATATAAATATTGCTGCATTACCGCCAATCAGAAATATTCTCCTGCCAAAGGCATCAACTAAGAATCCAGTAAAGAATGTTGCTCCAACCTGACCTGAAATTGGAAAACAAAATCTCTTACATTATACAGTAAAATACGTGATTGTTTTCAGACGCTTTAAAAATATCTGAAGTCTCAGAAGAAAACACTATAGAGTGGAAAACTTAAAAACGTTACTATTTATAAAAATAAAAACTGTAACTGTGTGTAAAGAGATGTTTTCAAGTTTTCACTTTCTGTAAGTGGACAACACTCGGCTTTGTATTGTCAGTCGTCAAAATTGCACGATTTATGTTATTTTAATTTATTTTAACCATTTTGACATCTCTAACCATTTTATTAATTTTTGTGAATGAAAACAAAAACTATTTTTAAAAAATGTTGACTTACCGAAAAAGGGCATTGCATTCAGTAATCCTTTATCCATAATGCTCATGTTTAAGTCACATTCAGCCATTGGCAAAATATACGAAGATGTTGTTGTGACCATTGTAGAGGCAAAAACTGCTGCCATGCTTGTAAATAATAATCTCATATGGAAGCGCCCAAATTTACAAATAACCAAACCGTCTTCCAACATCGCCATTGGATCTTTTGACTCATCTAAAATGTATAAATAACTTTTAGCGCCTTTGCATGCATCCTTTCAGAAAAAAACTCTTTAAAAAAGATTTTACTACCTCTCGATTCATTATATGCAGTTTTATCGATCATTTCTGACTAAAAATTCACGAACTCAGTAATGACAAGAATTACACACTTATGACGCGAACATTCAAAGTATAAAATCGTATCAAAAGTTCAAGATTATCATTTGGAAAACAGCAACTATTATTTATTTTTATTTTATTTTTGAAATAATATAAAAATATAAATTAAGTACACGTACAACCGCTGCTTAGCTGAACAAAGAATTGCCTAAGCGATGGGAGTCTCTTTTGTTCATCTGCTAAACAAATATTGGCACACACTTTGTCAATTGATAAAGTTTATGGCATTGTCATTTTCCACTATCAGTTACCTGCGCATTTGTGACTTTCTCATCAAAATTCAAACTATAACACACATATGCAAGATTAAAACATAACGTAACAAGCCGTGATTTATATATTTTTTAAATATTGATGTTTTTAATTATTATTTACTTTAATTCCGTGTTTGAGTAAAAAAAGATAGAGGAAGGATTTTGGCAATTGTAAGTTATCGGGCTTAATCATAAACGTGTAGATACAATGAAGTTAATGTTTTCATATAAGAACTTTCATTTAAAATTTTCTTATTAGGAATGTGAATTTAGAATCCAAAGATGTATGGCTTCTATGAAAATCTTCAACGGTTAAATAGCCCGCGAAAATGAGACGGTTTCTGCGGAATAATAGGTTAATGGATTACGGCTACTAAATAATCTGGTCTAGGTAGTAACAGTAATATTAGATATTATTCCGAACTTTCTCATGAACTCGAGAACATAAATAAACAAGCAGACTAAATATTACAATATAAAAAACTGAACAAATTTCTAATTTGTTAAATTCTATACGTAATGAGAACAATTCACGGCTTCGTGTATTTTTAGCGAAACAGATTACGTTATCTCAACAAATTACGTAATATGATGAAAACGTATAATGACAATGACTAGTTAAGAAATTTTATCAGCTTGTAAAAAATCTGAACGTTTCCACTTGATAATAAGACAAGCACATTTTGTTAAAGTTTTACAAAACTAATGATTTTCAAGGAAATGCAGTATAGAGGAATGCTCGGTAAATAAATATTGAAAGTAAATGATACTTTTCATTCAAATTTAAACTTACTATGATCTGAGCCAATCTCCATATGCTCAAATAAAAATAAGTTTTCGACACAAATACGATTTTAAGAAAAAAAGATAAAAGACGGTTTAAATGAACGTTTGGTAAAGATAGTGTCGAAAAATGTTTTTCTTTCTGCCAGTATTCGAACCTATGTCTTCTGCTAGCTAACTGAGGTAAGTGTCATGAGCATATATATTAGATTTATATTATAAACATAGTTCATTTGAACAATACATATTTTATTTGTTGCTTTAATTGTTCTTGATAAAAACATCTCTTAACAAAATACATCTAAAGTGTTCATGACCTCTCTAGATCGGCGTGAAGTGGAAGTTTTTTCTGGTGAGTGAGGTGAGGGGAATCTAGTTTTTAAAAGTTGTTAACGCATCTACAAAGCCCTCTGGTTTATTAGATGTTCATGATCATCATGATATTTACTTAACATCAGATGAACCAGCCGCTCGCTTGACAACGTTTCACATTAAAAAACTTAAAACTTTCCATTCGTGCAATTAACAAAAGATAATCATGCTTAAACAACAAAAGGATAACGAAAAAAATAGAGTTAAAAGGGATTTCATAGATTTAAACGGATCCATTGTCAAGAATTTTTTTAAGACTCATTTATTCGGATTTTTTACTCTTTCGTTTAATATACGTAGTAAATTGTATACGGCTTATTCTTTGTAAATTTTGATTCGTGATGAAGTTAATAAAATACGAATGTACTTGTACTTGTAATGAGTACAAGACCGCCCCGACCACTACATTAGATTTGATCAGCCGAAAATCCTCACAAAAGAACAGCGATTCCTTCCAAGGATGATCCGCGAGGATCAGGATAGTGATTGAAATAAATAAACATCCTAATTTCAATAGAGTAGATTGTTGGGGCTTGTCATCTGCTTGGGATCCCATAATTTATAACATTAAATTGAAGCACACCAACACTGCTAGACTTCAAGATACCGTAAGCTCCCTTTGCGTACTAATAACAAAATATAGATGGTAGCCAGGGTTAACTTTTACATCAAGTCGTGTAACAACTCAGTCTATATCTTAACCATAAACGCTGGAAAGGAACGTCGGGAATTACATAAAATCTAAATTAAAACGCAATGAAATCCCTAAACTAGTTTAATTTATTATGTATAATATTCGCGTAAAATCAAAAAGTCAAAATAAAAATACGTTTTACTATATTACTAGTTGACCCGGCAAACGTTGTTTTGCCATATAAATTATTTGTAGAGTAGAAAAAATGTTTGGGGTGGACCACTCTTAACATTTAGGGGGATGAAAACTAAATGCTGTCCGATTCTCCACCTTGCCCGATATGCACACAAAATTTCACGAAAATCGGTCGAGCCGTTTCGGAGGAGTTCAATTACAAACACCGTGACACGAGAATTTGATATATTAGATGAAGTATTAAAATTTATTGAAGGCGACAACCTACTTAACGTTAAATTTTCATCGAATAATATTTATAATTTATTTTTTTAAGCGAATAAGTTGTCAAACGATCAGACGGTTCACCTGATGTTAAGTGAATACCGCCGCCCATGGACATCTGCCACACCCGAGGGTTACAGATGCGTTGACAACCTTTTGAAAATTGGGCTCCGGATAGTTCACCAGACGAAACGCGAAAGTATTTGTCATACTTCCACTTTACGCTGGTCTTCTGTGAGGTCGTGGTACTTACCCGGACGGGCCTGCCCATTCGTGCAACAGCCGAGGCTGCTGCGTGGCCCTACCACCGTAAAATACTGATTCTGAAGTGCTAATGTGAATAGTTTGTAGATAAATTATTGCAATCGACTTCACACAACTTATATGTGAATAATTACAGCATATGCGACGCACTTAAAAGAAAAATTAATCTTAAATCAACATTTTCCATTCAATTGCGTCGCATTGCATGAGACTTCTTGATAATTATTCTTTAAAAAAAATAGGTAACACAGATCACGGCTTTTTAATACATCGGCAATAGACCAAATAAACAAAACGTTCATAAATAGAGAGTTGATAAAGTGAGCGATCATTATTAACTGTTAACATAATATTATCATTTCTCAGAACTTTGTTTAACTGTGGGTTGAAATAATAAAAGGAAGGTTATGATAAAGTTCACGCTCTCTGCCTTGAATGTTAGTTTAGGCAAGTATTTGCATTAAACCGATGTATGTGAGGGGAGGCTTAAGAGTACACTTATTACTTCAATAGTGACGTTTAAATACAGGCTTAATACACGTAATGTCATCAAAAAATTATATGTCATTTTCAGGCTTTCGTCTGAACTTATAATGTGCCTCATATTTTTTCACTCTGTCAAATTATTTCGACGTTTCCGAATTGTTATATATTCTTTTATCGCTGCAGATTTTTAAATAGTCATATTTTATTAATAGGGCAAACAACCTGTAAGTTGTAAATTATAAATTACAAATTAGGAATTTAATAAGCTGAATAAAGTGGAGCATCCCCCCCCCCCCCCCCCACCCCCTGCCTTTTCTAGTATGCATTATCAGTCGTGAATATTTTAAGTAGTGTGTTCTTCAATCTACCTTTCCACGTGTCCGTACATTTTTGGGTTGAAAATCCCTTCGAAGAGCAGATGAGGTTAGTTGGACACAAATGTCTATTTGTGTATTAAGCAGAGCGGGTGGCCTTCGTTATGAAGCCTTATTCATTATTCAGATACAGAGGGTCATTAGAAAGTTGGAAGCGACTGTGAATTTAAAACAGCCCCATTATTGTCACTTTGTACAGGAGTTAAAATATCTGATAGATATTTTTGACTTAACTCATTCATCTTCCAAACTCAATTGATTCCATTTCTTGCTTACCTTTCTTGCTTACCTTTCTTGCTTACCTATTTTTTTTACTAAGAATTTCAAAGTGTTACTTTAGATGTTAAATTTTTAGGAAACTGAAATCTTAAAGTTTACGCGTAAACGTGAAATGGTTGTTTATTTTATCCAATTCTAGCTTTCCAGTTTGAGAATTCGCTTCGAGCTTGAAAATTCGCACACGTGTTCAGCCCCGACAATGCAATAATTTCATAGTTTCATCCAGATATCATTGCCAGTGTCACTAGGATTGAAGGGAAATAATTTTTATAACTATAATTTTAGCCGATAAGTATAATACACGATGGTACTATGATAATAGTATTACCATATGGTACTTGACAGATATTCCAGATAGGTTTCTAGTAGTTTGTTATTAATTTATTAAAATATTCAAAGAATTATTGCAAAAAATACATGGAAAAAAGGACATAATTGAGAAAGCAGGTCACCTGATGGTAAGCGATCATGGAGCCGCCCGTGGACACTTGCAACATAGGCTGAATCACGATATTTTTTTAATTATTTAATTTTTACTTTGTAATTCATAAACTGTCTATAAACAATAAAAAACTATTCCTACTTCAATATTATTGTCTATCTTTTCGACAGGCAGAACATGCCCAAAAGTGAGAAAAGGGAAGAGGAACGTCCACAGCTCAGTAACAGCCAAACTAGCTTTCCCAGGGTACCATGCAGCCGCTAAAAAGCGCAAAGCCAAGGCCAGAGAGGAGCAACAACGTGAACCTCCCAATCATAGGTGGTGCAACACTTGCAGTCAAAATTCCTGACCAACCCTACTGTTCTTACTTCCATTCCTTTTCATTCGTAACGCGTGTATACTTACTTTAAAGTGATTTTTTTAGGTTATCCTATGAATAAGAAGGTCACGATGCCGTGTGATGTGTTTGATGTGAATGTTTACTTATATGAACTCAAATCAATCAAATCCATCTCATGTAATTTTTATTGTGTAAAGTTTGATTATAATTATAGTACTCTCATTATTAGGTACGACGTTGAAATTCGTAGAAAGCAA